GGTGTGCCAGCAGGGCCCATCAGGGCCCACAGGGGCGCCTCTGTTTACATGCCCTTCTGACCAAAACAAATGTAGGGGTCTTCACTCGAGTGCTTTGCCTCTGTGCTTGAACAAACAAACAAATAGAAGGGGGACATGATACAATATGGTGGAGTGGAGGGAGGGAGGAAGGGAGGGTGGGTGACGAGTAACTGAGGGAGTGAAGAAAAGCCAGAGGAGACACAGCATATAGGACAGTATTTAATATAGATCCAGCACTGATACCAATGTCTCTGGACTGTAGCTGAAAAAAAGCTTTTACACTGATAATCATATTTAAATGTTATATCATGGCAAAAATAAATCTATCATATATGTATTCTTAAGCCATTAAAGAGTAAAAAGTTTGATTAAGGGATCAGTAAGTAATAGGTGGACCTTGTTGAGCTAATGGCACTGAATATTGTTTTAATTTAACAACATAATGTCACATACAAACAGTAAGAGAGGCATCTTAGCCTCCAGGGACTCGAGTCTGACCCACGGCCCTTTGCTGCGTGTCATCCCCTCTCTCTCGCCCTGACTCTCCTGTCTCTCTCTCACTGTACAGTCATAATAAAGGCAATTAAAAAACAAGAAATATCAAGACTGGGATAAATCTTTTTGAGGTAGTGTGCGATGAATTCTGGATTATGTTCAGTGATAATCTTCAACTGCCAAATCTTCAGGCTGGTAACTACAGTGGTTTAAAGTCTAGAGGGGACGGGGCAGGAAAAGATGGCTGCCATTGTTCAAAATAGCAAACATAAATTATTGGCTGGAGATGGGACACATTATTATAATCTTAATCTGCCGCTACATGCTCAATTGTACATTGCAATGTCCCATACATATAGTGTTATACTTATGTTTAATATTAACATTGTTAATATAAATCTATTGATTAAAGCTGCAAAATATTGATTGTAGCCACTTTACTGGTCCCATGTTCTAGTAAGGCACACTTTATTAAGAGTTGAACTAATTTTAGTTGTTAAAAATGATTCAGTCATGATTTATGGACTGTTAGCAAGCAACCTAGCAACATTTAGGTCGCTGGGTTGTGACAAAATCTCTTCTATTTGCTCATAAATATTAGTGATGAACAAATAAATGCCTATTCATTTCTCACATGTAGGCCACCAAGTCTGCAGTCACAAATGTCAATAATTCATTAATAAATGCTTCTTACAATAAGCCACCAACTCTCCAACTGTAAATGATGAAGTATTCTTGATGAATGAGGAGCAATCTAAAAAGATGTGACAAGTGTCACACAGGAGGAGTTTGCAAAAACCCAATGCAAAAAATAATCATCTATGAATTTTATACATTTTGACTAAGTGACCTTTGAATCTATGGAGCCACTTACTGGCTGCACAGGATGCCACAACTCTTCATTCAGATCCACTAAAACACTGCAAAGCCCCAGGGGTGGACAGTAACAAAGTACATTTACTTGAGTACTGCACTTAAATCTATTTTTCGAGTATGTGTACTTTACTTGAGTTTTTTTTATTTTTTTAACTTATGACTTTTACTCCACTAAACTTAAAGACAAATATTATAATTTTGACTCCACTACATTTCTGCAATGAAGTTCTTGTTACTTTGAAGCAGAGCTTTTAGTCAGAGGAATGAGTTCTTTTATTTTCTAAAAGTGTGATAGACCATACACTGTGTTTGTCACAGGAGAAAAACCAATCACAGCCAACCAGTCACACAGTCATGTTGTGTGTGCTGACAAAAAAAAGTACTTTTGAATATTTATGTATTTCTAAAATCAAGCACTCCAGTACTTTAACTCAAGTAAAAAATTGACTGAACAACTTTCACTTGTATTGGAGTCATTTTTGACCATGATGATCTGTACTCTGACTCAAATAATGCAGTTGTGTACTTTGTCCACCTCAGCAAATCTCATTGTTACAGTTATGAATCCCAGTAATGCCTCTCCAAAGTCAGTTCAGACAGGGCTTCCCAAAGACAAGCATGTATGATATGTAATCAATCAAATTACATTCTAACAATCATATCAGTGGAGGACGGCAGTGACTGGAAACAGTCTGGTTTTTAATGAAAGGATGTTATCAGCAAACTGATGCATTTACTCGAGACAGAGAGAGAGAGGAAGGAAAACTGAAGAAGACGAGGAAAAAAAAAGGAATTGACTCGGAGAGAAAGGAGGTGTGGGACAGTCCGGGAGCTAGAGTTATTGCTTGCTGGTTTAATCTAAACTGAGATGCAATGGAAATGTGGTTTGCACTTATTCTCTGGCAGTGTAAAGATGATGTTATCATGCCAGTGAAGGTCCTTGAAATTGAATAAAGACAGAGAGAGAAAACAGACAAAGTGAGAGGCAGGCCAAGAGAGGCAATCTGAGAAAAAAAAAAAACAGGGAGAGAAAAAATATTATAAAAAACAAGTCATTTAATTTCATCTTGTGTCTTAAAAACTTGAGAATATGCAAATGCATTGAGATATCTCTGACGGATTCCAAAGCATTTTTCATGTTTCAAGAAATTTCATGGTGTGGATGATGATATCTTTAAATAAGATAATAATGCTTCAAGATAAAATCTCGATTTGTGGAAAATCAATGCAAAAAGTTGAGTTCCAGTGCAATCAGGTGCAATGATCTCATCCTGCTGGCGGATAGTTGCTTCTACTTCGAGGGAAAAGATGAAAAAAAAAGACTTTTAGGAGCAGATAAAAGTTTGAATCAGATGTAAAGATAAACCGAAGGCGACGTCGTAGACTCCCATGTTGACAGTGGAGTAATCCAGGGACCGACTGACTGACTGACTGACTGACTGACTGACTGACTGACTGACGAGCATCATCCGCCATCTCCCCGCCCAGCGCTCCGACACGCTGCACGCGCTCCTCTGTCGACGCCTGTCAATCATTGCCTCCTTTGTCAGTGTCGGCCAATCCCATTTCGCTGTTTCACGGGGACTGTTTGATTGACAGGCCGGGGAGCTGAGGAGTGGAGAGCTGAAGGTGGAGGGGATTCGGAGGGACCTGGTGGCACAGTGATGTGAATAGAGAATGGTGTGTGTGTGTGTGTGTGTGTGTGTGTGTGTGTGTGTGTGTGTGTGTGTGTGTGTGTGTGAAGTGAGGGCTCAAACAAATGCGCCAAGGGCAAGAAATATTAACATGCAGTAGCTGGCGAGTGTGTGCATGCATATACAGTATGAGTGTGTCTGTGCATTTTTATGTGTATGTGTATGTGTTTTTGTGTGTGTGTGTGTTTGACAGCCAGCATGAAGGAGCTGCAGTAGTAAGGCCGTCAGGCAGCCTGCCGCTTCCTGTCTGCTTTTAATTGCATGTAGCCCTAGAGACTGCACAGACACACACACACACACACACACACACACACACAAACACACACACACACACAGAGACAGAATCCAGCCCAGGGAACCCCACTACACAGCAGTACTGACAAAGAGACGAGGCTTACACGGCTAAGATGGGAGCTGAACACTGAGGTCTTTCACTGAGGATGACGACGGCTCGCTGTTGAGACTCGATAAAGACGACAGAGGAGGGAGAATCGACTGGGAGGTGCTCCGGGAGCCGGAGCAAAAAGCAGAGGCTGAGTAAACCTTCCTGAGAGCCAGCGTTACGAAGGTTTTTTTTGTGAGCTATTAATCAGATGAATATTGCGCAAACACGGTCTTACGTGTGAATTTTAATTAGCATCTTCCAATTAGAGGCTTAGAGCAAATCTTGGAGGCAAGTAACCGTGAAGATAAGTTTCTCGCACTGAGAGCCGAAATGTCAGCCTGTCTTTGGACAAGTCGAATGTCGGACCTTTCAGAAACAGCTGGGTGGTTAAATCCTGTGATGCTCATCTTCAGTATATGTCATGTTTCCATCTTCTTCCTCATTGCTAAACAAAAATGAACATCATGAATTTTTACAAGTCCTCTGTGCTGAGGTGAAGCTCTGACGCAGCAGCTCAGTCTATTTCAGAAGTTAAAAATCCCACGAGAGGAGCATGAAACGTAAGCACTTAGGGGATGGGCTGGGCTCATTATAAAATCAATGCTCACAGGACCACTCTCATTTAAAAACATGGTGGTGAAAAGGTCAGAGAGAGAGAGAGAGAGAGAGAGAGGGAAAAATCTCAATCTAATTCCTTTTGCTCAAAAAGCCACTTAATATTGGATTCTGTAAATTAAATTTCACACCCGGCTATTCCGGCCAAAGGATAATTACAGCAGGCAAGAGGAAGGAATGGAAATGACTCGAGGTGGAAAACCTGTTGGATTGGTGATATTGCTTCACGTCTCAAACAACCGAATTACAGCAGGGGATTAGGTTACAGTCAGTAAATCACCACACAGCATCAACCCGGTTACAACATGTCAACATGAAATAAAAAAATGGGGTTGATGTAGTGAGGCAGGATGAGGTGGAGGTCACCAGAGTAAAAGGTGTCAGCCACCAACACCAGAGATGTGAGGTAGAAATCACATGAAAATCACAAGACGAATCTGGACAAAAGTTGGGCTTTAGAAATATCAAACAGCCTGTAGTTTAACAATGTATTGTCTTTTTAAATTATTTTGGAGGGAAAATTCTGGCTTCTTTTTTCTCCTGTCGATTATACATTATCTGAACTGTACTTGCCATAAGAGGACCCATCCTGATGCTTATTTTTCAAATGATTGTGGGGACATAAAAGGCCATTAACAAATAAATAAAAGAGTGATTCTTCTATGTCAAATTCTGCTTAACTTTTACAACTTTTTTCTTGTGAATTCTTTGATAATTTTTACCTCTAAAACGATTCCACTCCAACAAGAGAAAAACGTCACTCTTTGGCTGAACTTGTTGCAACTAAACCCACATGTCACACGACCTCATTTTAAGGGGTCACAAGTACAAAAGGTTGGCGGGGATACTGATCGAATCCTCACCTAAATCTTTTGTCAAGTCAAGCTCCCAGGCTGCGCAGTAACACCTCCTACCTGATAGGTGGCGGTAGCATCGCTGCCGGTGTCTGTTCCCAGGTTGGTGAGCTTCTCCTTGAGCTTGTGGTGGGAGCGGTGGCGGAGGCAGTAGACCACGGTGGAGGCCAGCAGCACGCCCACGATGCACAGGATGGACACGACGGTGAGGATGAGGAACTTGGTGGACTCCGCCTGGCTGTACTTGGTGGGGATCTGTTTGATCTGGCTTCCCTGCGGGCCACAGAAGAACAGATATAAAGCGTTAATAATGAGATAAACGGTTGTGGCTGCAGCTCAGTGGGCAGAGCGTAGTACTATCACAGCCAAGACAAGAGCTTCGATATTCATCCACTGCGCTAAAAATGTCTGCACTCGTGACGGAAGCAGATGCTCTGGAATAAACAGCAGGGGTGTAAAACTATGTACCTAAAAGTATGCACGTTTTTCAGTCCCGCCAAAAACTACAGCAGGTGATTTCACTGATCACTCAGACAAGAGGAACTAATCTACAGCATCATCTGGCGGAGTGCTTGATTGGAACAATCCTGCAGACTCTCAGTGCTTCATGGCACACGGTTTGATACTCCTGGATTAAAGCATCCACCAAACGGTCCAAAAGAAAAAAAAAAAAACAAACAAAAAAACCCCTCACTCTAAAATCCTGCATTTGACAAAATAATCTCTCTGAACCGCTTTTAAAAAGCATTAATTATTTTTGCTTTCATATGATTCTCCCACAAAAAAATGTTTGATTCTGCATTAGGAGATGATGGCGTCACACGGCTCTTTTCTTTCCTTTTTTTTTGGAAAGACATAAATATGCATATCACCCTGCTCGATGAAAAGTATAATCACAAGCGTTTGTTCCACCATCTGTGCCCAGAAGTGCATGGAATGCATAAACTCCTGTTTAGCAAAGCATTCTGGGTGTCTCCAGACAGCTCGACACACCACCGACTGCTATACTGGAGGAATTTTCTACCAACAGAAGTTCTGCCGTCTTGAGCAGGTGCCTCGCCAGTTTCGACCTCGGCGGCGCTTTAATCTGGCACGTGAAAAAAAAACAAAACAGATCCTTCAGCAAACAACCTGGAGATGAAAGATTTCTTTTCACACAGTCTGCTGGTTAAGATAACACAATAGATACGTACTGTATGATGAAAGTCGCTGAACTTCTTCTCTAGTGTGTCAGAACCAGCACAGTGATAATTTGAGAGTAGAGGGGAGAGGGATAGGGGTGGGGGATTGGGGGGTGGCGGTGGAGGGTTGTCTTATTGAACTGTTCATTATGAGCCTCTACTCGCTGTTCATTTCCAGACGCCAAGTGAGCTCACGATAATGGGCCCTGTTGCGTTTCACCTGACTACTAAGAGTTAACAATGGGCAGCATAATTCCCCATTATTACACACTGCGTAATGATCTTGACAACAAAGAGCGAGGCAAGAGAAGAGCTGCAAATTGCACTGCCAATGACAAGGCCTACAATTCCTCCTGACAAAGAGTTATCAAAAGAAATCAATAGCAAGAAAAAGCTTTTCTTGACTCGTCTCTGCTTGAATCCATTTTTTTTCCCAGAACAGTAAAGATGAATTTCCCCCTCTATTTTTTTTTTTTTTTTTTTTTTACTGGTAGAAAAATGTAAACGCCTGCTATAGCTGATTATTCTCTTCCTTTGATAGCACTTTTCATGCTGCACATTATGCATGTTTGGTATTATTTTGGTCCCCGGAGGAAAAGTGTAGAGAATAAAATCCTGAGGTGCTCAAGCTCACAGAAAGGCAGCAGGCTTGTCTTGAGGGTAAAAAAAAAAAAAAAAAGGGGGGGGGGGGGTTAAAAAAAAATCCTCAGTGTGCCTCAGTGGTAGAGGTCACAGAGATTAGGCGAGGTGTGGCGTGGTGAGTTAATGGAAAGGAGGCTTTGAAAGCAGAAGGGAGAGGGGGGGGGCAGCCCTGTAGAATCCCTCCTGCCTGCCTGTCAGCACAGAGAAACCCTGAGACCCTGGGAGGTGGGAGAGAGAGCGGCTCTGCCCTGCACACAGATTGTTGTGGAATTCTTGTGAGGTTTCAGGGAGTGACCCCCCCCCCCCACACACACACACACCACCACCACCATCACGACTACATGATGCCCCTACCCCCCCCTCCCTATGATTTCATTCATTGCTGCTGCTGCATTCAGCACCTGATAAAGAGTGCCTGCAGAAAGACCCACAATAGGGGACAACAGTTGTACGATGCTTTGTGGGGTGTCCACTCTGCTCGGGGGAGCTCTAAGCCGTACTGTAAAAGCTGGTTGCATAGTAATGTGGTGGCCTTGAAAGGAAACAGTGGGCGTCTGACTGGGGCGCCGCACTGAAGAGCATTTTCTCACTGCTAGGAAAAAATTTAATAAATATATATATAATTTTTTATTTATATATATATTTATAATAATAAAGTGGAACAAAGAAGAAATGTGAGAAATTCAGCTCTGAACTACAGAGCATATAAAAGATTTATCTACTAGTAACCGCAAGTTACAACTGAGGTTGTTCATGAATCTGTAATAAACATAATGCAGGGAGTCTGTTTATGTTGGATTTGTATGGATGCAGATATTAATATTGCATTAGACATCCATTTAAAAAAAAAAAAAGCAGATACAAGTGATTGTGGTCTGGCTGTGTATTTTTAATGTTTCTTTTCATTAATGCTGTCTTAATGTAACAGATCGCAGCAGAAGCATCATAAACAAAAGTAGCTGAGCAGTAGACTGTACTGTGTTGTGGGCCTGGTGAGGCCATTAATAATGCATTACTGCTGATTCCACATGCTTCCACTGCAATCATCTTTTGCAAAATGTATTTTTTTTTTTTTAAACCCACGGATCAAATAACTTCATTTGTCATTTTACTCCCCGAGTCATCTCATTGTTTTGTCAAATTAAGTTTCATGGAGAGGGATTGCATCTTGCTCGGCGAGTAATGGCCCATAATTCAAGGCTCTAACTGTAACAGCTCAGTCATCTTTCACGGGACAGATGCCGGCGTTTCCAAAGCACACACTCCCCCCACCCCCCCACCTCCCCCTCCCTCCTCACACACACTCATACACTTATTCTACCTCCCCCTCTTGGTCGCTTTATCATGGCTGCCTCGCATGTCTGTCTATTGATTCAAACAAATGTAGCCTGACCCCAACTGCTTAATCAAGTTTGGTTGCAGTTGTTAGTAACAGTAAAAGGGATGGAGGAGTGTGTGTGTGTGTGTGTGTGTGTGTGTCATAAAGAGAGAGAGAGAGAGAGAGAGAGAGAGAGCGAGAGAGAGAGAGAGTTCGGTGTGTGTGACTTGATAGTTTGCAGCTATGAAAAACGAGCAGCCGTTGTGCCGGCGCTGCAGAGGCAGATGTAGCAGAAATTTGCAATGATTGAAAATCAAATGTTTGCTCAGGGTGGGAGGTGGAACATGCACATGAGCCAACGTGTGTGCAGCCATTACTGTGTAACCTTTTCACTAACATGCACTGTGAAACTGTGTTGTGTTTGATACCTGCATCTGCACACAAACTCCTATTCTCATCGTCAGTGTGTGTGTGTCAGATATACTCTGTATCCGATAACAAGTTATCTGCTCGGCCCTGCAGCTCTGAGGCCTTTCACTCTTCCTCCTGTGGCTTAGCACTTTCAATCAAATGACATGCTGAGGGCTGGATGTGGAGAGCCGCGGCGCAGGTGAGCTGCAGCTCATCGGAGGGAAATTAAAACGAAATGGAACATTTGTGTTGCTGGTTTGATTGTAGGTAAGAAGGAATAATCAGTATGACTCTCTAGTAGACTTCAATCTGGGTCATTTTTTTTCCTTCCTTTTTTTTTTTATTAATCATACGACGCTGGTTGTTTCTGGAGAAAAAATCAAACATATGGATCAAGTCTATCTGAGCGAGCGGCTGGAAATGAAAGGAAAATGTTGTCTCCACCAAAGGCACAGGGGAGAAGGGAGTTCCTTTCATGCCTCCACCTCTATTGTCCATCTGCTCCCGCAAAAAAGCGATTGTACTTGCAAATTCTTCATCTCACGTAGGCAAACGTGATTTGACATACAAGTGTGCAGCTCCTACTGACTGACTGTTTCTGAAAAGCATTACCATAGTCCGTCAAGGATGCTGGCTGGCTGGCTGACTGTCTACGCTGCTGGGTTCAGCCCTTTTCAGCAAATATCAGACACACTCCCTACAGACAGACGGGCGTCTTTGAACAGGAGGGGGAAAGAACAAAAAACGCTCGGAAAGAGAGGGAAAAAAATGTACCGTTGCAGAATATCTTTGTAGATTTTTAATTTATTTTTTATTCCTCCTCTGGTGAATTTTTGAGCCAGTTTTACATTAAAATGGGCTCCATCCTCACTGGGAGTGATGTGTAGGTAGCGTTCTAATTCATCGACTTACAATAATCTGCTTTGCAGGTATTACTACTTAAGAATATGTCGCTAAAATCAATTAAGAAATTAGATTTAGGTGGAATCAGTTTGAATAAGTGTGTGTGTAGTTTTCAGTCTCTGGATTTGAGATGGGGGGTTAGTGGCAGAGGGGTTACGTCTCCTGGTTGGTGTGTGTGTGTATGTGTGTGTGTGTGTGACAGGGTGTATATGTGTATGTGTGTGTGAAGGAGGGGGGGTGTGGATTAGCCAGGCTCCCATAGACAAAAGGCAGATGGATTTGCACGGCTCTGGCTTATTCAGGATGGGTGAAAAAAGGTCAGAGGGAGAGCGGCGGCCGGCTATTGTCTTCCATCACCACGACCGCTGTAGGAAACAAAGATGTGTCCCTCACCTCTGATTCATCCTGGGCCTTTGAAAAAGTTCAGCCGTGGTTTTTAACAAAACCTTTCAGCACACACACGGACAAACACACACACACACTTGCACACATGTAACTAACATCACTCATCAGTGTGCTTTCATATTTCATACACTCACAGCTGCAGGTGCACACTTTTAGGCGTGTAATTTTTCACTCACCCACACACACTCAAACACTGCTCATGCTCGCACTTGTGTGTATGTGTGCACGCTGCACACACAAACACACTTGCACCTAAGTGAAAAGTCCACACACACACACACACACACACACACACACACACACACACACACACACACACACACACACACACAATTGAGGAAAAAGCCCCACAACATGCTGTAAAATGTATCTCTCCAATATTTACAAATCTAAGAGAAAGACTATTAATCTCA